ATAGGGATATGGTCTTACTAGGCATAATGTTGATTTTTCAGATAGAGTTTGTGTAGATGTTTTACAAATGTGGACTGTGTTTCTATAGGTGGATTGTGTTACTAAACATAAAGTTTGTACAGTTGGATAGTGTTGCTAGGTTGATTCTGTTACTAAGGTTCTGCATGCAGATATTGTTACAAAGTGCATGTCTTACATAGGTAGATAGCATTTAACATGATTGCAAACAGATTTCAATGTACATTTAATTGCATATATTTTACAAAGAAGTTTCTATACTTTCCATAGGATGTCTCATCTTATTTTTCTTTTACTCGTGTTTCTGTAGGATGATAGTGTTACCAACACAATAAACTTGCTGCTGTAAAGTTTATCATTCCCAACTTATTTTTTAATTGATATTGAACAAGTCAGCTGATTTTGTTTTAACATACTGATGATACTTTTAGTTCCTATATTTAAGCATACTTGCTACAATTAATATCCTGAAAAGGACGTTTATTTGAATATCATGCAAAATTTAACAAAAGCTTGCACTTTCACTAGATTGTCTTTATGCTATCCATACAACCGATTTTTTTGTTCTTGGAAAATATGTCATTTCACACGTATATCCTGTGACACTTTTCACTTATGTACTTTTTACAGTTTGTAGGGACCAAAGATGTTATTATTACAACGTCTTACTAAGGATAGTGTTACTTTAGGCAGAAAAGGTTTCTATAGTTCCATAGGATTTTAACATGCTTTATTCCATTATTTGAATGAGGCAGTTATTATAACCAATAATTTACTTTACATACTTTATCCTCCTGAAAAGGACGCTTATTTAATTCTCTATATAATTTAACATGCAGTTTCACTTTAAATATATATTCCCATATATCACATGTTATAATGTCTCGTGTAAGACATTCTTATATTGATCTTCTTTGTACGATTTCAATTATGTCATCTGGCTAAAACTAAATATAACAAGTTAATATCTTATTGTTTATCCAGTGATTTTACCATTATATAATCTATTTAAAATAGCAACACTTATCATTCACTTGAAGTTGTATAGAATCAAAATTCATAAACTCTGCAATTTTACTTTCCTCTTCTATAAACATTGAGATAATCCTCTGTCTGATGTCAAGACCACCATTAGGAATTACAAAGGTCGTCACACATGCAAAAGGTGGGGGCAATTTCAACATATTACTGACACACAACAGCTAATGGCAAGATCAGAAAGTAAAACTTTGGCCCTTTATGTTGGTTAAGGATAAAACAAATAATGCTTTTGTTTCTACAAACCAGACTGTTTATTTCTGTATCTTTCAAAACTTCATTTTTATGTACATATAAACTTTAGTTATCCAAATATATTTTTCACAAAAGAATATAATCTTAAAAAAATTGCATTATAATTCTTCAATTATTTCAAAGATATTTTCCTCACAAGGATTTTGAAACAATATTTTGGTCACATTAGTGATCTTTTCACTTAATAATTATACCATTCAGTGTTCTGTAATTTTCTTCTATTAAAAACAACAAAAAACTCGTATTTTATCATAGCCCAATATGTTATCATGTAATTGTAAGTAAAATTTAAAAGTATCATATATACTCAACAAAACTCGAGGTATACTAATATAATATAAGCATAGTTTATAAATTTACTGGATTAGCTTTCATAGAAATCATATCCATATCACTATTCGTTCATTCCAACCCTATATGTTTTACAAAGGCTGATGTGATGGTGTTACTAAGGTTCTATAGGCGGATGGTCTTACAAGGCGTATAGTTTTTACGTACCAAACATCCACCCTTACAAAAACGTGTTAAGTGGAACCAAATGATCTTAAAGAGAACAACAAACTCTACCTTAATAGTTTTTACATACCAAACATCCACCCTTACAAAAAGATGTTACGTGGAGCCAAATGATCTTAAAGAGAACAACAAACTCTACCTTAATAGTTTTTGCATACCAAACATCCACCCTTACAAAAAGATGTTACGTGGAGCCAAATGATCTTAAAGAGAACAACAAACTCTACCTTAATAGTTTTTGCATACCAAACATCCACCCTTACAAAAAGATGTTT